TAAGAGTTCTTCTGCAAGCAATCATACTCTCTTTATTCGAACTTTTTACTTAAAACACATAACTAGACGAATGTTATGCAAAGTTTTGGTGACCCAATCTAACATTTTTCACACCTGATAGCCGTTGGGCCGCTACGACTATGCGGTATGTGAAAGAAAAGGTACAAAACAATAAAAAATAGGAAATGACACTAACTTGATTCCGCTTGATGCGAGAATCCACTGACTTTGACTCGTCTGGATGAGACTTGCTGTTTACTTCCTTGTCTACGTCTGAATTAGCAGCACGTTTTCATGGAGTTGAATGCATCGATGGTAAATTGTGGAAGAATTTTGACGACTCTAATACGACTTACTCTTTATCTTTTGCCGTGCCACCAAAGAAGTTGTGCGAAAGTTTTCCATGAGAACTCGTAACTGTTGTGATTTCTCTAAAACCATCAAAGTATATAGATGATTCAAACATTAGCAATCAGATCTTTCACAAACCTCCGTCAGAGGCCGGCGCGAGCAAAAGCTCTCCATGTAGTATGCGAACTTCTTCCAACCATGACTCCAGCTGACCCACAATATTTCGCAGCTCACTCATACGTTCCAGGAACTGAAAGTATGGTTATGCCAAATAATCAAAAATAAATTACCAAAGCTGTGGATGTCGGCAAAAAAAATAACGAGAAAAATAATAATTGTAAATTGGATGTGCATTGCAGGAAAAAGAGGACTTACGCCCTCTAGCGAAGTTTCCTCATCATGTAAAAGTTTGGATGTCTCTGCTGATATACGGCGGTCATTTTTGTGATGAGTCGAGTTCGTTTTTCCTGAGAGAGTCTGAAAGACAAGAACGGAGCTAAGACAAAAGAAGTTGCAATATGATATGAGAACAACAGAACAAGCACACTGATAATTGGAAGTGAAGCCGAAGCGATAAGTAGAAATTCACCTGGAACTCGTTTAGACGATCCTTGACCATCTTTCAAACAGGAAAATCCCTTCCTATCAGATGAACCCACAAACTAACGGGAAACCTGGCACGACCCGACGATGTCAACACATCTAAAGATAAAAACAACTGGAGAACGAATGGCATTTGGAGCATGCAGCAAAATCGGAGACGCAGGGGACATTCCACGAAATGATGCCGAAATAGCGTCGCAGATAAGATGGAAGACAGTTCTGCTGCGTGCCGGACATTCAGGCATGAGAAACACTAAATTGAAGATCTTCGGGACGCGATCATCCACGCCTATCAACCGGCGCGGGGATAGTGATGATTAAGAAAAGGTTGTGTGATTCATCCATGTTGAAATCCGCTAGTGTGAATAATCAAATCTACTGCTGAGTCCTACACACTGGAGAACGAAAACTGCCGTTTCCAAAAAATTGAAGTGACAAGTCCAAAACATCCCAAACCTTTCCTTTTACGATAGTGCAATTCAGTGTTCGATTATGGGAAAACATCACTTCCTAAGTTTTTTCTTACACTCTGCTACCCCACTGAATTTAGCCTCTGCCCCCTTCCTAGTTTTCACTGACGAACCTATTTTGAAACCGCATCCGATACTAACTCATTGCTTCTAAACATGATGCACATGGTGCCCCTCCTTGGTTGATCGAAAATGAGCTGCAATGACATTCCAGAATTTGAAAAATTAGGAAAACAATGATGTGAGAAGTTGGAAGCAAACTCGTCCAACATGTTGGAGCTTGCGCGACACCGCCTCGCCGCGGGTTTTCTGGAATTTGATATTTGTGAGAGCCCCAGACATGAGATACAGTCCCTGCATTCTCCGTGTTGCTACGTTTATTTGATAAACACGATGTATGGATGCTAAGAAACAGCTCGTTGAGGTTGTCATTCTACAGTCCTTTTGCACCATCATTTCGAAACTGACCATCATTATATTTGCAAAGCACCCCACAACTCCCTTCCGATCATTTACCGCACAAATCCGCGCAAATAAACATT